GCTATATAACAACAACCAATGCCTGGCCAAGTCCTTGATGAAAGGCGGTGGATCAGGGTATGAGAGCTGAAGAGTATTGGTATAGGCGCAAATCCAAACTAATATTGAACTAAGGAATAATACATCAAGTATGTACTCCTTATATAGTGAACAGCGAGGGTCAGACCAAAAAAGGGAAAGATAAAGAAAGTGGTCTGACCGAACAACTAACCAATAAGAAAAGAAAGGGAAAGTGGTCCAATCTATTGTATTTACTAATTGTGTGAGAGAGAGTCTTGGTAAGAGATGTACAATTAGCTGTATCAGTAAGCCCATGATAAGGTGCTGAGTCACAGCCTACATTGCTGATTAATATCCCTCCAAAGTATTCCCAGACATAGCATTGGATCAATGCTATGTCATCTGGATATCTTCTTGAGGGTCTACAACGGTTCTCCTTTGTTGTAAGTACAATAAGACGTGAGTATGAATGGAAACTCAGAAGAAGAAAGATAAGAGTAACAAGATACCGGCCGTGATCTCTAGTCCAAGGGCAAGAGGAGTGACAGGGAATGAATCAGATAACCATGACATGATGGGAATGCAATGATAAAAATTGATTCCTCACATTAGCTCCCCTTTTATAAGACTTGTGTCCTCATGAGTCCAGAAGCGGCACTGTGGAACTTGTTGGTAATCCAATCAAAAAGCATCGGAGATTTAGAAGTTGCGGTGTAGTTTTCATAGGGACAGAAATGAAGTGAAGCAGTGATGATGCGAGGGGCAGCAGGATGTGTTTTATGGAAGGTGGCAAGCAAATCGGAGACGTGTGTAAGATTGGTGTTGGGTTCCTAAGTACGCTCAGAGACTGGATAACCATGCCAGTGGACCAAGGGTAACCACTCCCGCATCATCATCTTTATAGTGTGTTCTAGTTGTGCACCAGAGTAACAAACTCTTGGTTGTTACACAGAATGTCTTGAAAGAAAATGGCATTCTTGGTAATGCTGAACAAGAGCACACAATCAACATAATTGTGTGACATTACATATCTAACGATCAAAATCAACTATTAATGTATGTAGGAGGTGTTGGTGGTATAGGCAAGAGTCATATAATACATACCTTGATGGATTTCTTTTGTTGCTGCAGTGTTGAGGACATGCTTCTGATAAGTGCCCCAACTGGATGTGCTGCTGTGTTGATTAACGGTTATACCATACATTCTCTTACTTTCCTGGCTAGTAAAAATTGGGAAAGTAGGTCGCAAGAGCTCAGCTATTAAACATCCAACACCTGCTTCTTTTGCAACTACAGTGGGGAACAAAAGAGTACTTTGATGATATGGAAAAGACTATTTGCACCAAAGGAACAAACAAACCGGCAGCTTTTTGGGTACCAGGTTGCATTAACCATTTGTGGATCACTGAGCGCAATGGTGATCCTGCTAAGCAAGTCTCTATCAACATTATTCCATTCTTGTCAACTGCATGCACAGAACTACAAAACACTCTGTCTGAATTTACATTTCCCAGTAAATATATGTTATCATATCAATTTTTGGCACTGATTCACGCAAATCTACAGAAACAAAGACTGTAGTCTGGAAAAATATTCATTTCTCCTCTTGGCAAAACAGCCTGGTCTGCGGCTCTAGAGATCTGGTATGTACTTTACCACATTGTAAAAGATTTTGACGCTTTACATATCTCACAGATTTGCCCATTCACCAAAGTGTTTGACGCTAGGAAAGAGTTTGGTCCCAAAAGAGAAATGTCACATTTTGCTATTGAAGACTTGGATAATAAGGACGTTGTACTTGTTGAAGGCACTATCTGTTGCTATTCCACCACAAAAAAGAAATCACTGTCTGAAGCCAATACCTGGTCAGCCTTTTTACACTTAGAAAGTATTTCTTTCCTACACAGGGCTATAACTCTGGACAGGAGTGCACCTCAGCTTTGTATTTGATAAATAGACTGTTATAATATGTATCTTTCATTTGAGACACCCCCTGGGGGATGTGCGTAATCCAAGTGTCATACATGATGTCCCACTTGATAAGTCCTATTCTGAGACACTTTTGCACTTATATTTGCCTGAAACGTGGCACGCTATCTACAAACATGTCTTCCCCCTCTGCCAACATCCACCCTTGCAATGAAGAAATACTGCAAGGAATAAATGATTTATTTCTACATCATTATTCACAAAACCCTGCATGTGTACTCACACTAATTAAAATGTGTCAAATAAACTAAACAATAGGTGTAAAAGTGAGTCTATCAATTGCAACATACACAAACTTTCTCACTAATTAATGATAGCGTACACAGAGGCTACTATCAATTTGTGATAGGACATCAAACTGTGCCATACTCCATGCATACCAACCAATTACTGCATTGAATGATTTGCTGTACAACATCAGACCTTTTCACATTGATACCAACACTTTCGATCCACTCGTCATGCAAACCATGGCTTCTGCTTTTGGTTGCAAAACAATTACTCCCATAGCAACTTTTTATGATCGAGATCCTGCTGTCATAAACTGCTATTTTGAGGCTTTTCAATGCAAACTTCCATGGACCAAATCAATGCACCACTTATCGACATCATGCAATCCCTTTGCCAACATTGTCTGCCCAGGGTGCAAAGTTTATGGTCCAATGATCATCCTGAAAAACATGCCGTGTAATAAAATAGGAGAGAGTACAGCATTATTCAGCACAGAGAATTTAGCATGCACACTATGGTGGTACATTGCTAGTGGCAACTCCATGAAAGATGTATGCAAAGAATAGGACTTATGTTGTCTACTACAAGACACATAAAGTATTCAAGTTACTGCCCGTCAAACAATGTATGTTACTTTACTTTCTCACTACATACTCTATAATCTCCATTAATATCCAAACCAGGCAGATGCAACTATTCAATATGTACTGTACATGAGAAATGCAGACAATTTCATATTCATTGCGCTCACATGTCTCACACAGGCTCACCCCTTTAATTTGCAACTCTGATCATGTTTCGGACCATTATTTTCTGCCTTTAGTACACCACATGACAATGTCAAATTTGAGATCTACGTAGCAGCTCCAACACCATCCTTTGCACTGACTAGATCTACAGATCAAAGTAAAACCAATGGTGATATGCCGCCTTGCCATCCTAAGGATTTCACCCAAATCCAAAACCTCACTTCATGTTATACAATGCAATACTTCCTGGTTTTTGTATTATGCACCCCACCCTTCTGCTATTGCGCTCCAGATGAACTTGCAAGGCTTTGTCAAAAGCCTTATTCCATTACAAAATTGGATGTTGAACGAAGACAAACGGCATGCAAAAGCTTTATGATATGCACCGTTTAACATCCCCTCAAACTAAATCTTAATTGGTCATAGCCAAGCACACATGCTTGCAAGCGTGAAAAACCACACAAATACAACTTACGCTATAGATCACCTCCCGCACCCCATAAAGTGGCAGAATGACCTTGCAAATGAGTTGTGTACAAGTATGGGAGAACTTTACACAATCATAGTGGTCGGATGGCTTTCACTCCTTCACTATACCACTGTAACATCCATCCTGAAATGGTTAATCGAGGTCACCCCATTGGGAAAAAACTCTCGACAACTTGGCATGCACTACCTACGTCTTTTATCAAGAAGTCAGAATCTGTTTAAGAGTTTAGACCACTGTGACAATGTCATCAATGCAACACACACCATTTCTTCTCATATATGCATGCTTTGTTCTCAGTAGGTTTTCACTCATCCCTTTCGAGGTCACAACTCTTGAAATGCTAGATGGAAGGGTAGGCAAAGTTGACTTGTCATCAATGACATCATTGTCTAGCTCTGCATTCTCTGATGATGATGTAGTCCTATTGTTGTGCAAAATTAGGCGTGATAACCACATTGCATACTTCCACGCTGAAACGGTGGTTATACTACATACTCATAAAAGGTTTTAGATACTTCTCCTTATACTATGAAACTTTCCAGTCCTGTGATACCGATATAAAATTCTACTACTATTAAGCACATGGTATATCTGCATAAAGCCGGGTCCAGGACTGCCCGGAGGGCGATTTCTTGTGTTACCAGAACGATATATTAGTCAGATATTTTCTCTCTTATATTGAAGGGTAATTGTATATAATACTTTGCCAAATCTTCATCGATTTCCTGATGAAAGACGCCCGTCAATTCCGAAACCTATCGACTTTCAGCCACTCATCCTAAAAAGGGTTTCTTCACGTGACTCAATCTTATCAAGCGCTTATAGAAACTCGTTCAAATTTCTGAGTGCCCCGTGTATCATCATCGAAGAGATGGCGGACAAAATTACTCGTATCGCTATTGTAGACGCAAATCGCTGTAAGCCGAAAAGATGTGCCCAGGAATGTAAAAAGGTAAGCAACCAGCGATTATAATATCATTGGAAACTTGAGTTAATCAAAGTCTTGCCCAACAGTCATGTCCCGTGGTCAAAATGGGTGAGCTTTTTTCACGAGATAGATACAGTCAATCCGATTAACTGATATACTGTAAAGGGAAGTTGTGTATAGAAGTGAAGTCGACAGATAAAATCGCGTATATATCAGAGTTTCTGTGTATTGGATGTGGTATTTGTGTGAAGAAGTAAGTACAAACCCATGCAGATCACATATTATCTAACCTATCTAACGCAGGTGTCCATTTGAGGCCATTGCTATCATCAATTTGCCCACAAATCTAGAGTCAGAGGTTACCCATCGCTACACTGCTAATGCATTCAAGCTTCATCGGCTACCAACTCCGAGGCCTGGTCAAGTTTTAGGACTCGTAGGGACTAATGGTATCGGGAAAAGTACCGCTTTGAAGATCCTTGCTGGAAAGCTCAAGCCAAACCTGGGACGCTACGATGTGAGTATAGTTTACTGGTTACAGATCAGCACCTTTAATAGAATGTTTGTATGTCAATCTGATCAGGATCCTCCCGACTGGCAAGAAATTCTGAAGTACTTCCGGGGCTCGGAGTTACAAAACTACTTTACAAAGGTGCTCGAAGATAACTTAAAGGCTCTCATCAAGCCTCAATACGTGGACCACATACCGAAAGCCATTAAGGGCAACTTGACGGTCTCACAAATGCTCGACTCTAAACTCGAATTGGACAATAAACAAAAGATGTGCGACGAACTAGAACTCAATAATGTACTGGATCGAGAGGTAACTCAGCTTTCTGGTGGGGAGCTTCAGAGATTTGCTATCGCGATGTCATGCATACAAAGGGCAGACGTGTGAGTAGGGTTCATTTGTGCGTCATGGATTAAACGCTTACTGCGTTACCGGAGAACAGATATATGTTCGACGAACCTTCCTCGTATCTGGACATTAGGCAAAGACTGAAAGCGGCTGAAGTCATACGGTCCTTGCTGAGTCCAGACTGCTATGTTGTCGCTGTCGAGCATGATCTGTCTGTGTTGGACTACCTCTCTGATTTTATCTGCTGTCTGTACGGAAAGCCATCTATGTATGGTGTGGTTACGATGCCGTCATCCGTTCGTGAAGGTAAGTCCCTTTGCGGTCGTCTCCCATAAAGTTTATCAAGCGTTGTAGGTATCAATATTTTCCTTGATGGATTCATCCCCACTGAGAACCTCCGGTTCCGTGAGGAATCTCTCTCATTCAAGATGGTTGAGACTGCTGAAGAAGTCATTGTCGATAAAACCCGACATTATTCATACCCTTCCATGACCAAAACATTGGGAGGCTTCAAGCTTACTGTTCAAGAGGGAAGCTTCACGGATTCTGAGATTATTGTCATGTTAGGAGAGAATGGGACTGGGAAGACGACGTTCGTTCGATTGTTGGCGGGAGATACTCCTGACGTTGAGACGGATAAACAAACTCTTTCTGTGTCGTTGAAGCCTCAGACCATATCTCCGAAATTCCCAGGCACCGTCCGCATGTTATTGTTGAAGCAGATCAAGATCGCATTCATGCACCCACAATTCCAAACCGATGTACTGAAGCCAATGAATCTAGACAATATCCTGGATCAAGAAGTGAAAACACTTTCTGGAGGAGAGCTACAACGAGTCGCCATTGTCCTGGCTTTAGGTTTGTATGCTGTTACTTTGACTCATCGGCCAGCGAACTGACTGAATGGATAGGGAAACCCGCCGTTTCAGTATACCTACTAGATGAGCCCAGCAGGTTCGGCTCTTTTTGTTTACTCTACACGAGTGTTGCTTATGTTTATATTCAGTTTCTTGGATTCCGAACAGCGTATCATTGCGAGTAAAGTGATCAAGCGGTAAGCTGAACAACCACTCAGACAACTCCCTTTTACTAATATGCTCGTACATAGATTTATCCTTCATGCTAAGAAGACAGCCTTTGTTATCGAGCATGATTTTATTATGGCAACTTACCTGGCTGATCGAGTCATAGTCTTCGAGGGGCAGCCAGCGATTGCGGCTACTGCCACACCGTGAGTGCCGCCTGATCGACTATGCTGCGGTGATTCTCACTATCCCCACCAGACCACAATCTCTTCTGTCTGGAATGAATAAATTCCTGGCATCATTAGAGATCACATTCAGGAGGGATCCTACCAATTTCAGACCGCGTGTGAATAAGCTCAACAGTGTAAAAGATCGGGAACAGAAAAGTGTGTCTTAAAACATTGCCTCCTGATTCAAATATTTAAATTATCTATTCCGCTTAGATATGGGCAACTACTTCTTCCTCGAGGACTAGATTCCAATCATATATATGTCAGCTAAGAAGGGTGGTGCACTGGAACATGGTGTAGGATAGGGGTTGTAACTTGTAGTTTAAGTGTTTGGATCACATAGGAAACTACACTTTTATTGTACTCGATTACTGTACAGGTCACTGCGAACACAGGTGCGACAGCCTTGGGTGTCAATGCAGAACGTTGACAACTTCGACTGACCTTACTTAGTTTAGACTCAGATAATGACTTTATGTAAGCAAACCGTCCCATTGTTCTCTCAGCGCTACAGCGTAGGACGGATTCACCGTCTGGAAGGCTTTCTGGATTTTGAATGGCATCATCTCATCTTTGATTCTTCCTCAGTAGGCCATCTTTAGGAGCTGCGTAGAGAACCCAATCTCCCTATTGATATTTTCCGAAGAAAGCCCGTTCGAGATTGGATATGCATCTTCTTCTCCATAAACGGGGGTGATTAGAGTCCCACACAGTAGTAAAAGCTCACTTCGGCGCTGATTCGTCTGCCAGGTGTATAGTCTTCGCTTCGAAGGTGCCTAACTTGAAAGCCCTATACCATTATCTAACGCCAGACCATGACTGGCATCGTGGTTTCTCTTCATGCCTCCTCAGTCCACTCGATGATTGCACCGTATACCCCTTTGCCTTGAAGCCCTATAAATACGCGGCCAGAAGTGCTGTTAAATAGGTAGACTACATTTCCTCATCGTCCACAAGTGAGGCCTTTTACTGAGAAAATAATATTCAAATATGCTGCGCCTCCCTGTCACATACTTTATCTTATTCACCAACGTCGGCATCAGGTTCACTCAGGAATCACAAGTCGCTGAAATCTGCCAGGGTTACGAATGGGGTATTATCATTGAAAAAGTTCACTCAGAACCCTACCCAGTTTATAATCGTGAGTATTCTTTCATCTACATGTGTGCCGTGCACTACTCATGACGGGGATCACTTAAATTCACTACGCCACCTCTTTCAACGGGGCAGAATATATATACCTACCCAACTGTGACGGTCCTGCTTCTGTGCAGTCCAGCAGTAAACCAGGCCCTCCTTCATCTATTCACGCATTTGGCCAAGTTTGTCCCATTCCCGTCGGCGTCAAGGGCGGTGGCTCATAATTTGTTTTGCAGATTCATTTGTACTGTGCCCGATTTATCTTACTTTTGTGGAATTACTCCAGTCAGTACTTGTGTAAGTATTTTATACCCGGCTCTACAGGATAGTGATTGCTCAAGGGTGAACAAATCAACCGATCTTGTATTAGTGTGGTGACAGCTCTAAGCTATAATTCGTAGGGCATAAATGGTTACTTCTTGCGTTTTGATGTTTATTCTTTGTTTAACAGATGCTAGGTGTCAATTACGGCAATATATCTCGTATATCATGATTTAGAATGACCTTGAGCTGTTTCTAGCGCTGTTCGTGCCCTTTTGACCCATCGAGGATTTTTAGTTCTGGCTGGGGGCCGACACTGCCTTGATGGATCACAGCCCCGTTGCACAGTGAGTTCCCATTCAGGGTCGGACACTGGCCATACCCAAGGCACTCCAGATAAGGTACGAAATTGTGGCATGAGTGATAGAACAGGGTACCTTTTCCACTGTTCCGTTACACTTCGGAGTCCTGATTTATGCTGCAGTCTTGTATAGAGGGATACCGCCATCTGAATGCTCGACGGAAGCTCTGATTTTGCCACTAAACATGCCTTGGATCCTGTTCCTGTTATCATGGCGCTATCATCTAGATTTGACAAGCTTTATCTACAAGCTCACCCGGCCTTTCATATCCGCCGCTGACACTGCTACCTATGGCCGACAGGGGTGCCAACGATATCAATGTCCATGGGATACTACCTTTATTCGTTCCCGATGATGCAAGTAAAATTCAAACAGGCGCCTTTGGAGGCTATAAGAGCGCGCCCTGCTCCTTTGACTTCCAGTTACCTCCCAAGCTTTGCAGACATCAACTGGTTCATCTTGTTTGCTCATCTCAAATGTTTCGTAGGATCTTAATTCTTTCAGCTGCTAGTTTTTATGGTGCCATTGATGCCCAGACTGTTTCGAATGAAGTATGCCCAGGATTTGAATGGGGAGTTGTAGTCGAGCTTATCAAAGAACCGCCGTATCCTGTGTATGACCGTAAGTCTCCTCTATATCGTGTTACACTCATAACGACTTATATCTTCTTGTATAGTTTGTTGTGCTGAGCAGCGACTGTTCAGGTCCAGCGACGGTCGATTCCAGTGACTTGCCCGATCCTCCTCAGTCTATTTATGCTTTTGGATCTTAGTGAGTTTCTCTGGTCGTGGTCTGATTCCTGCGAGTCTCGATCTGATGTTCTACGACAGTTTTAATTGCACAGTCCCTGATGTATCATATAGCTGCCCCATAGGAAGTATATCCACAAGTATATCCACATGTGTAAGTGATATCAAATTATTTCCGAGACAGAGTTAACCACAACTATAATCCTAGTGTGGTACATTAGATTAGTTCTCTATAGACTGTTTTACTGCGCGAGATCACACATACAGATAATTCTGCTCATTGAGGATTACAATCTATAGAAAAGCTTTTCTGAAACTCATTGTGAAGTCGCCCATCTATCCGCAAGCTCTCTACTTGATTGTCACGTGCCTGCCCTTTGGCTATGTGTCATGAAATTATCCGAGCCGGTCTGACTGGCGTCCACAGTGGCACGTCTGAATACTACTACCAATAGTGGCAGTCACGGTGATGACCTGCTTAAAAAATATCTAATGATTGCAGTAAGTTGCATTCGGATATCTGTCACTTTTCTCGATGTTCTATGATGGAAGATAGACACAGGTCTATTCTGAGCAGGATCCCATGATCGCTTCACACACGCAAATGGCACTGTCGTGCACAATCTTTATAACTCCATTATCCAAGCAGTATCATCAGTGTACAAATCTTAGGCTATGAGTGCTTTGGTTTTGTCGTTACCACAGTTCTGGAGAATCTTGCTCGACAAACTCTTCCGTGGGGATGGCTCTGCTCTGAGGCGCGTTATCCGCCGTCTATGCCATTCATGGACCCTTTTCATGGACCGTTTCGTTTTTTGTACCTCGCCTGAAACGAAGGCGCCACATAATGAGCCTCCCGTTATCTCATCTTTCCCATCTAGTACAGGCTCTTTTGTGCTGCCTTGGGTTCCTGGGTGGACTATTTGCCCAAGCTTGCAGCCTTCGGACAAATCAGTACACGATTGTTCGCGCGATATCAATTCGCTTACAGGGGGCGCTCCCACCTATAGTACACCGCTATCATCGAATTATCTATCCGTAAAGCCCCTATCTCCCATGCTCCATGGAAATTATACTATGTCACATGAAGCTCCAGAGGCAGCTACTTCGTCCAAAGTGGAACACTCGAATTTACACATTGGGTATGGCTCGGATAACACGAGAGAAAGCGCATACTGTAATTCGAGTCCTGCTCACGTTACATCTATGGAGCAAGCTGTCCAAAAAGAATCAGGCATTACGAATCTATCAAGGGCCCCATCATCTGTTTCTTCTATTCTTAATCTGGCCGCACCAGCTGGAATAGCGCCAGGTCAGGTTCAACTATTGCAGAAACCTATAATCGACCCTTGCACCCGATCTGCCAGCCCTGTTTCGAATATCAGTCATACGAGTAGGAACAGTACTACCTCACGCGCCTCTTACCGGAGATTTTCAGAAAATGTAGTCCCTCGGTGTGCTTCTCCTCATAAAGATTTGGTTTACATAAATGGTAGGCGACCTCCATCACTTTGGGATTTTCAGCTCATGACTTGGTTGTTCGCCTTCACTGTAGCTGCTGTACCGTCTAGCAATATCCACCCCAGTGAGTCGACAGAGACCGTGGATTTTTCTCGGGTTCACCCCATCTCGAGCTATCAGCTGAAGAGGTATGATAAGGAAGGTATCATGTGCGTACCGTATCGCAGCTGTGACTTTGATGCAACTGTTCACATTCACAATTTGAAGATCGTCGCATAAACACTATCCTATAATACCTGCGCTTACAACAAAGTATCCCGACTATGAGTGAGCCGTTCTTTATGTTTTCGTAAACTGGTCCTGATAAATCATCAGTCAAACTTTACAACCTGGCTGGGCCAAGGCATCTCATCCAGGTGGAGCTTTTTATTTCCTGCACTCCGAACAGGTGCACCTTTTCTCGCAAGTTGACCATGGAAACATTTCTTATGGTCTTTGACAGAGGATTTTTGCTGAGGTAAATATATGGAATTCAGACATACATATGGATGTCTGTGGTTTTGCCGACTATCTGCAGAATGAGCTGCGTCGCTTGATATCTCAGAACGAATCATCTCCGAGTCTAGCCTATGATGAAGTGGAACTTGTGCTTGAACCAGGATTGGCCGCCAACAGCGACAATATTTTATGTCACTATTATTTTGTGAACCCACACAACCAATGCTTGTTTTGGCTTCATGATTTTGATGCAACACCCATTATGCATAATTGTAAAGGTGTCGACTCACTTTCACATAAGAGTAATTAATTATACTCTCAGTTACTACGTCATAAACTCACAATATTTCTGCTTCCAGAACTCGCCATACATGCTGAGTACTGGTGAGTTTGATTCATTCCATGGATGGGTGAGCCTGAACGCTGTACTAGGCTCCATTGGCAGTTGTTTCCTAATTTTTGCCACTTATCACAAGCCACCTTGGATTATCTCAAAGAGATGATGCTATACGCTCGTTGTGGTTAGTTGTTGTTTTACAGACACTTGGGGGCTCTGACTTACCAGATCGCGATATAGATCATCTGACATGCCCTCAATCCGTAGAACCTTACGATGCTATCGAGCTCGAGAATCTATACCGTATAGTCTCAGAAATCAAACCTAACAGTCAGTCCTTTTTCCTAGTGCATGCGACTTGCAATAAAAACATTCTGTGCCAGATTCAAACCTCAAAGATCAAACTCATTCTATCTGGATTGTTGGTAAATATCTATTCGTGTTATATATTTAATTGAAGTTTTGATTATCGTGTTCATCAGGCAGACTGATGCATCAATTTGGTATATGCTCTCTCTTGATATTATTCATTATATCTGATACTCGCTTTAAGCACGAAATAGTTTTCTTAACTTCCATGGTCAAGCAGGTTCCCGTCTTGAATTTCAGCAATCGATTTACGGTCAATCATATAAGCGGTCGAACTTCATGTCCATTCTCTCACCCTTGTTTTTCTATACTCCGGATATACACGTGCGAGCATTGCACGGGTTGTTTGTTGACCATATCGTGAGCTCTCATACGTGGAGTAAGTTTATAGATAAACTCAACAACGAGTTACAAGATCAGAACCTACTGGTAAGAGTTCGGACGCAAATCTCACCGGACTAAATAGCTATAGCTCAAGTTCAAATGTTTATCGTAGGCCACAGTATTGCTCAATGCCAATGTGGGCTTCTTAGCTATCAATAGTGTCGATAATGGTAGCGGTCCGAATGACACATCTCGATCAGCTACACAACTTGCAAGTTATTTTTCACTTGTCGCCAGCCTTGGGAGTATCATCAGTGGTCTAGTACTTTTCCGTCATACTCGTACCAAAGCGCAAGAGAATGCCTTGAAACAAGTAAGGCTGCTTCTTCTATCTAATAAATTTGCTCATTGTTTGACGTATATAGGCAGGCTTCTTATCAAAGATGAGTCATGAAAGGTACGGCCTAGAGAAACTTGCTATAGTGTATAGTCTTCCCTTTGCGTTACTGATGTGGGGGTGAGTTGCATAATATAGCAAGGTATATCGCACTAATATAGCACCCGTTTCTAGAATGCTTTGTTTCTTTTCTGCACTCTCGATGGAGTGTTATACCTCTAAAGCGAAACTCCCCAATCTCTTTGTAGGATCATTTTCGATAGCAGTCATCGCACTCATGGCCTGGTGCATTCACGCTCTCTGGGCTGAACAGGATAAATTGAATGTTACAAAAGCACAGGCTGAGATTGGTGATATACCAGTCACTACAGCATCTGTAGTCCATGACGTACATGTCTTTCCACATGAACCCGAGAGAAGCTGGCATACACGTCTCCGAGATGTTTGTGCGGCGGCATTCAAGAGGAGGACTAAGCCACTGACAAAGTCGGAAGTGGAGGTTGAGCTACAAAGTATTGGAGGCGGCAGAAGTAGGCCTGTTATAAAGGTTCAGAGAGCTACTTCCACGCAAGGTGATTTGGATGGTGGGGAAGAGGATAGATTTCAAGTGTAAATTATTTTAATGAATTTACTATACATCAAGCCAGTCTTTGTCATATCGAGCCTGGAAGCTACTAATAATTAAGTATGTAAGATTTCACTGTGACGATCTCACGCCACCAGCGCGTTGATGGTCTTGTCGCGGTCGCGGTTCCAAGTCATATTACTAGTACTAGTACCTAACCGTGACATAGGATTCGTTTGCTCGAACTTGGTCACGTCTTTCGTGTTTTCTGGCCACATCATCAAAAGCAAAGACATAATATGTCAGATCACATTTCAACCAGAGTTAATTCCAGTCGTCTTCCTCAGTTTGTTGGGCGCACCGTACGTTTGGCGTGCAAAGTCTTGAGGGTTCGTTTATATCGAGTCGGCCGTGTGTTTTCTGAGCTACCTACTGATTAATTGCCGTAGTTTCAAGGTGATACCGCGTTAGTCGAAGCTAGCGATGGTGGCCAGATAGAAGTCCGATTACCCAAGGTGGGCAAACACTCCTTTTTGCGACCATTGTATTCGCGTCAACGTTTACTTATCATCAGGACCATCAAATGACATCGACGTATGTGGAGATCATTGGAAATGTTGTTACTGAGTCCAGTATCAAAATGATGGCGTGCATAAATATGGACAGTGACCTTGGTATGCACCCTCTTAGGGAATCCTTTCATATCCGGGACTCACAACTAGAACTAGATATGAAACTAGTCAATGATGTCGTCGAGCTAACATTTGATCCTAGGTTCAAAAAACTATTCCCCCAATAAATACGTGCACCTAAAGCCATGCACATATCTGCGAGTCACCAAAGTTCTCTTTCACTCGCTAATATATTAGTTGTACTTTAATCATGTAGTTTGAGACCCTTCAATCATGAAGTTGTTGATATTTCTCTAAAGTTATACCGAAGGACCCGCTCCAGCCCTTACCATTTTCTTGTCGTGGTTCCTCTTTCGGTTATGATTTCCCCTGCTAGCTTTATTCTTGTCCTTCCATGCACGATCCCTGGTGTTTATGTCAGCCCCTCCGCCACTGCTTCCACCCGTTCCTCTTCCACGCCCGCGGCTACCTCCCCTTCCTGGTCTACCACCTCGCGCCGCTGAAGCAACATTACCACCTCTACTATAATCTGCAATTGGCATTGCCCTGTTACCAGCAAACTCATGCTTCTGCAGGATCGCATCTTTTTTGGGCTAGAAAATACGTACAAGAGTAAAGACAAATACCACGATACTGGTAACTTAGAAAACTTACATTTCTTTCGAGCATGATTCTCCATCCCTCGATTTGTTCATCTGTCCAACCTACAACCAAGCCCTAAGCTTTACTTGTTACAGCGAAGGATCAGGTCAAACACCTACCTGTTTGACTTTTGAGTTCCGCGCGGGCTTGGCTCCTTCGAGTGACCCCATCTCTTTCAAAGAGCTTCTGGTTACGAATATAAGCCAGCTCCAGGATTATTTCAGGTCCAGGATGAGCCGGAGTAGCCGAGCTATCACTCCCTTCTATATCATCTCCGCTATCCTCCCCATCACCGGCAATTTTTACCTTTTCAGTGAAATCATCGTCAAGGTCATCATCTGCAGCACGTTTTTTCTCGCCATACTGATCTTCTACATCCTCATCATCGTCAGACAGCATTTCAGAAAACCTCAGAATATCTGCTTTCATTTTCTCCATAAATGCTTTGTCCTGCCCAATGGTGCTTTCGCCCAAACTGTTTTTTAATGTGATTTGAGAACGACATATAATAATATCAAGATCAGAATATACCTTTTCTTCCCTTTATGCACTTGGGTAAGATCCATTTCCTGGTCGTCGAAAATATTTTTTCTATCCTTCGTGAAAACCCATTCCTCCATAGGTCTTCCGTCGTTGATTATGTTTGTCTGGTCTGCTTGTATCTGCTGTAGATCATCTTCATGAGGCGCAGTACCCTCCAGTAATGCCTCTATAACCTTTTCTGCGCTTGCATGAAAGGAAAAATCCGTATGAGTAAGGAGTGCCCTTATGTATTCCGGAGAGTGGTCGGGGAAGATATCAAGCACTTGCGTGATTTTGAGATCAAGACTGGGATCCTGAGGAGAAACATCTACAGGAGGAATCTCTCTAGCCTTGCCTTTGCTACCTCCTTGGCGCACGCGTCCGTTCCTATTCCCCAGGTTATCAACACCCGTAGCAATCCCGGACGATCTAATGAGTAGTTTCAAAGCACCGGGATCCTTGGCCCTTTCCGATCCTGATGACCCGATATCAAAGGAACGGAGAGTTGATTCTAATAGATCAACACGGGCATCATCGTGTGTAGCTGCCTGTAAGGCAGACGAAAGGGTCCGAGCTAGATCATAGGAGTGCTGATAATCTGCCACGATTGAGCGATTGACAAACGGGGTAACGGTGGCATTACTCCCATCGAAGGACGACACAGGAGACGGGGAGGGAGTATCCAGCAGCGAAAAGAGGATGCCAAATATACTCTCCGACTCTGCGGCAAGCACAACGCCGGAAGCATTGGACAAGCTCTTTAGCATGGAAGTGATGAGCATATGAAAGCAGTCCATCAGATCAACTTTTGTTTCTAGCCAGATACGCTCCCAGTCGTCTAACTCTCGATCTTCACTCGCAAATCGAGTACCTCCATAGGAATTGGCGAGCGCAGTAAGTCCTTCGTCATAGGAACGAGCCAAGGCAAGAAAGAAGGGCTTGTTATGCACAAATGAGCTTAGAAGCTGTGGTGGACAGGTGTGAAGGAGGGACGACAAGCAACGAGCAGTTTTACGAAGACCATAAAGCCCTGATGAATGGGATGGGCCAAGAAATGACGTAAAAGCGGGAACTACGTCTGACTGAAAGGCTGAAGGCAGAAGCGTGGATGTTGCAAGAGCGGTAGTAAACAGAGCACGGACCCGAGAATGATGTGCTGGTGCGTAAACAATAGCAAGATCTATGAGTGTTTGGATATCGAGACTCGGTGGTGTCAATACCAGCTTTTCTGCCAGCACAAATACGCGTTGTCTAATGATAATATCAGCATTAGAACTCCGTTTCCCCCAAATCAACGATTCTAGGTATTGCTGGGCTGCATCTCTTGCATAGGATGAGATAAAAGACCGACTTGCGGGGGTGTCTCGCTTCTCTGGTGGTAGTGCAATAGTCTCTGACAAGGAATTCGACACAATCTGGTTGAAGGTTGCCAGCTGAGAAGGAGAAAGCGATTTCCTGGATTGTGTTGAGGGATAGGGTGGAAGAGATGCGAGGATGGTCATCGATGGGATTAATTGAGTGCTGAGAAATGCGGAATTTTATGGAGTATACAAAACCCGCAGCGACGGGGGACAAATGATTCGAGTCATATTATGATCGGACCCGATGCTGGCAATCCAACCCTTTATTTGGCAACAACGAAATAAACAGGGCCGTCCAGACAGTTCTCATAACTATCCTATAGCTAGTAGTAGCATGGACTATCCAATTAGTCCCAACACCTCTAAACTCAAAAAATAGCAGACAGGAAATGAAACAAATAGCCGTGTAACATTTGTACTAGGGACCAGAAAGTCATTGATTGGACAACACCCTCAAGTTTACCATGATCGTAATGAGTCAAAGCTTACTAACCATCAGACTGACGGTGTACAAGAAAAAGTAATGGGTTGGTGGGTCTGCGGTTGTCTGATATTTATACTTTGAGTCTTACAAGAAAAGTATCAATCAAATAAGAGGGTGTAGTCAAAACAGGATGTCCGTCTCACTACCACACACCCTACCAGAACTTTCCAAACACACTTGCTCGTCCGGAAGTGCCTCCAAGTATCATTCCCACCCCTTCTTGTATTGCGACACTGACCGGTCTCATAGGAGCTGAATCATATACGTGCGGACAGGGCTGTGAGAGGGGAGATGGTGCGAGATTTGGATTCTCTAGTTCGCGCTCATATCTAGACGCTTGACGAGGTGATTTGCTTAGTATGTCGTACTGAGGTGAGTCGAAAGTTCGCCGTGCGCTCCTCAGTCTAACCAAGACTTGTTCATAAAATGCGATCTCGCCGTCTAGATGTTCCCTGGTGACGGTGTTGAAATCTTCCAGTTTCTGCGCGTGATATGTTTCCATTTCGGCCATGGTCGTGTTCAATACTGTCTCGCATCGTCCTGCAACGTCTTCGTTTGCCTGGTGTTATGATCAACATTCAGTCATACAGCTGGATATAACCGTGAATTCGTACACAGTCTTCTTTGATAGCGCCATGGTAACGCGAAAGAGTAGATCTATGAGTTTCAATGACACCCTTTGTCAAACTTTGATCAATGATGGCGACGTGGATAAGAAGATAAAAGTCCTACTTCATACATAGCGAACGGATGAGCCACACTCTTCAAGGACTCGTGAGTAGCCAATTGCGTCCTCCTCGCCTGTTTGGGATGGTTTCATTGGCATATCGGAAAGCTGCTGGATTGACGTACATGATCATCATATAGGTCTGCGACGCTCTGCAATGTTTCTGATGTTTTATCCATAGCTTTCATCAAGCTGAGACAATCTGCAAACATAATGAACATGTACACTTCTCAAACACCCATCGGATGCTTACCTTTACAATCTTCACGCCAACACCAAGCACCTTGGCTGTTCAGGGGGCCCCTGACCTTAGCGTCACTTTCATCGCCTTCCTCTTCTTCACTTATACCATTCATCGGAGCCGACGCCAGAGGTTTCGACGTTATCAAGGATAATAATGAGTATGACAATAATCGCTCAGCCTTGGACATCTCTAAGTCAAAAGGTGTCAGTTTTGTAAACGTGGGCCTGTGAACGAGGAAATAAACCAACCTAGCCTTGCTTCTCTAACACGGCCGAATATGTTTCTTAGGCCTTGGACACCTTTACCGACGGATCGTAGGTGACCATCGAATCGGTTTACGGTTTCTGCTGCATCTTCTGCATCGACATTAAATGCTGGATGGAAAACACGGGCGAAAAAGGAAGGTCCTGCCGCTGGCAATGCGAGATGCTGAGGTACCAAACGCTTCCACTCCTTTATTTGAATTAGTTCACTTTTCTTCAAGTTCAAGTTGCACTAAAAATACTACATACCGAATCGCTTTCACACCCCAGGAAAGACGTCATAACTTCCGCATACCTTGCAATCGGGTGCCGCACGATGCGCCCAATATACCTCTCAAGGTCTCCTCTCCGAGCTTCAACAAAATCCGTACTGAACCTCCCTGCGTATTGCTTCTCAGGTAGCGGTGGTAATGCTATGCCTGGTAGCCGCTTCGTGAGCGCAGTGTGTAACACGACAAAATGAGAGAAGCGACGATGGACTGTGATGCGAGTAGGAGAGGCAGGAGGGGCATAGCCATACTCTGCCAGGTCTTCTTCCTCTGGAATAGAGGGGTAGAACAGCGACGTTACGTTATAGATAGTGTAGGCACCAGACAAAACAGATGTACGCTTCGATGGAGAGTGTACCAAGACTCGAAATGGGGGGACTTTTGTTTGCCAAGCGGGGCCTGCATCAACGAAGTGTCGATCGGCCTCGCCCGTTGCAAGGCTGCTTAATCTGTTGTTATCGTCATCGTCTGCAATGCTGGACTGGCTGGGCAGTCTTTGATGAGAGCCTTCAGCTTCAAGGGCTTCGGCTTCTGCAGCACTACCATTCAGGACCCATTCTTCTGCACCGCTTGTAACAAACGTCGAGAAACGATTCAAACTCTTGCCCCCCAAAAGACTTTGACGGAAGCTAGGCAATGCATTTCGCCACTCTCCTGTATTTTGAGGGACAATTGGTAATGACTGAGACTCTCCCTTTGGAGATCCACGAGGTGTTAGCGAACTACTTGAGGCCTCCTTCTTTCTATGAAAGGATGGTATATCCAAAGTTGGAGCCGCAGAGAAATCGGAAGTAAACTTCAGTGAACATGTCAATATATAAATGCGAATGTAATGGATGGATTTTTACCGTGTAATATGAACGAGGCAATAGGCCTATCTCTCCGCCCTCGTTTCTCACTAAACTCCACCCGTCGCCAACTTCTTCCTTCAGAACATCCAATTCATCACCGGCGTCTACGTTGAGCTCCCTGAATTCTACTTTCCCTTCAAAATGATACAGCGCACGCGCAGGACAACCCTTCTGGTTAGATATATCAGGATCGTCGTCTGGGTCGTCATCTGACAAGGATCCTCGTTCAAGGTGCTCAGTCCAAGCAGTTGAAGAATTGATACCGGCATCAAACTGGGACTCTATGCGAAGAGATACATTGGTGTCTTGAGGAGATGAAGCCGAAGAGGAAACGGGAATGGTTTTGGTGGGACGAGGTAATGTAGCCATGGTTCAAGGATATGTGAAACGTGAAGATGTGAGTCCTGTTTAGAATGCCCGTGGGTCACTGCATCGGAGGAACAATCCTAGACTGAGTCTCAGGATTTATAGTGCAACGTCAAGCTACTCAGGAGTGCCGATGGCGCTGGCTGCTAGAGGGAAAAGTCCAAGAATGGATGGCTTCTTGAGACTCCACTTAGGAGTTTGTTTTACCGTGTCATATGCATGATACGATGGTACTTGTCAGTGCTTTAACACTCCTGTGGTGACACCCTTCACATACGCTCTTTGAGGGAATAATAGTCTATGTCACATGCGTTGTCATTCATGTTGGTAATTTATTACTAGCATTACATAAAAAACGTAAAACAAACTCCTTTTGACCATGCAAAGTTCTTCTACAATAATTGCGCCTACTTCAACTCAGGGGTGTCTCCAAACAGAGCCTTTGCAGAGGCAGGAGGATAGCGCTCTCCATGGGCCCAATCTGCTTTCTCAGCAATAGCACGTACTTTCTGGATATCTTCAGGACTAAGCTTAACATAGGCAGCGTTGAGGTTGTCTTCCAAATACTACATATATGATAGCGTCAAAGTTGATAAGTATAATATAAAAATGCACTTTACCTTGATTTTCTTGGTACCTGGAATGGGAATAACGTCGTCGCCTTGGGCGAGAAGCCAGGCAAGGGAAACCTGACCGGCAGTAGCATTATAAGCAGCACCGACTTCCTTCAGACTGTCGGCGAGTTTGAGAATATTAGGGAAGTTCTCCTTCGAATAACTGTGAATTTGAGATACCCGATCACAAGTCAGCGGTCAACATGCCTGGAGACGAGTAACACGCATACCGTGGAATACGTCTTCGGAAGTCATCTTTCTCAAAGTCATCTGGAGACCTCTATTGAAACATATATAACGTCAGACTTTTTCTTGTCATATCCAATTGGGAAATGTCACTCACGTATTGACCGGTGACTAAACCACGGCCCAAAGGTGAATATGCTATGATCTTAATGCCAAGTTCGCGAGCGGTCTTGAGCACGGCAATTTTTTCGTCTTCGATATCAAGCGTGAAAGGCGAATATTCGACTTGCACCGCAGCAATTGGATGCACCGCATGGGCACGACGAAGAGTGGAAGACGAGCATTCGGAGAGACCAAGATACTTTACCTGGCCAGCTCTGTAAACAATAAAACATCAGATAATTCTGGATCAAACAAAAAGGACTATTTTCTCACTTTACCAGTTCAGCCATAGCGCCGACAGTTAGCTACATAATTTCTTGAGATTTATCATAAGCTAAGAAAGTCATGGTATTACCTCGATGGGAACGTCAGGGTCAGGCCTATCAAAAGAGGTCATCAATGACGCATAACGAGGTTGATCAGACATGAAAGGTACCTATGGAGGTAGTACAGTTCTACAAAGTCCACACCCAGTCGCGAGATAGACTTTTCAAACTGGATTTTTACCTGATCGGGCTCTCCATTGACACCAGCAGGTCTTCCTGAAGTATGATCAATACCGAACTTAGTGGCCAGGAATATTTCGTTCCGTTTTCCCGTCCGCTTGAACCTGAAAGCGATAGGTAAGAAACACGAATAAAGGATTTGATTGTATCGAGTTGACAAACCACTTTCCAAGGAGCACTTCGCTATCTCCATATATATTTGCAGTGTCCCAGAAGGTGCAACCTTTCGCATAAGCTGCATCCAGAACCTATTCACGTGCCGTTAGAACAGAACAATACGAGAGCGACAAACTGTTAACATACCTTGAAGCGCTCTTCGTCAGGTTCGACGGTACCATAAAAGACAGATATACCCATTGCACCAAAGCCAATGGCCGAGACATCGCTATCGCCAATTTTGCGTGTGGGATAAGACATTAGTACTTCTGTGGGGGAGGCGTTGAAGATAGAGGAAAGAATAACGAATAGAAGGTCACTCGCCGGTCTGTTTCCTTTATATTTTGTGTGGAACCCACTGCTCCCCGATAATCATTACGAGAGGGGCCTATTGAAGACTTGCTGAATAAGGATGTACGATTAGTGATATCGAGCCACTGGGCAGACGTTTTGGAAGGCGCGGGAAAAGCCGCACAAGTACTGTGGCTGGATGGTTATTCCTAAGCAGACGGTCCGTAGGGGGAGGATCAGGATTGATGGAGGATAACGATGACTCACTTCGAGCTCGTGGTCGTCCGGGTATAGTCTTGCTCCTAACCCGGAGGTTATAAGGCAGGGATGTTGAGGGGTTAGTTGTCATCCGTTTGGTGTTTGAACTGGAGCCATGCGGCTGTTATGGTGATCTGGTTGGTGCTAGGTAATAACCACCCCTTGTTCTGGATACATGATTTCCTCACCGTGTTCTTGTTCTTGTTTAATCGCGCCATTTGTGTTGGAAACGTTCATCACGGTCTGGGATGAAATGCTATAAAGTTCGTTCTGCTATGTTGTCTTCATTTCAATCAATCAGTTTCCTCACCCCTACAAGGTCCGTTCAACGCCCTCCCTTTGTGTGTGTGAACTCTAACACAGGCTTGTAGCTTGCTACAGAATCAAGCACTTATTTTCACCAAGACCGTCACTCATTTCACCACTTGAAAGTAAGTTGTTTCTCTTCCTGTCACTTAATCAGTGTTGACGCTATTGTCCGCTCAGAGCAACATGAGCGGTATCCAGTCCACTGTATAGAAGGTGCTTGAAAAGGCCATGAAAGTACAAAGTTCAAGGTGTTTGAACCCACTCCAGTGAATGGTGGTGGAAGCCGGGCTTTTCAGAACGAAGACCTTCGTGTTGACCATGTTGAGGTTGGCACTGGCAATCGTGTGGTACAAATACAAGCCCAGACGCAAAACTCTACACTGAAAAGATACATGCAGAAGAATGGTACTCATGTCAAAATTGCTGTGGTTAAAGTTAATGAGGATCCAGGTGCTGGTGGTAAAGACGACACTGATGGGTTCGGGTTCTTCGCGGACGTTGTGAAACAAACCAACTAGGGATGGGGATTTGCTTTTGGTCTTTCTCATTGATGGCAGCATCAGTAAAATGCGCGACTCCTTGGGCAGCTTATTTTTGTTTCCAAGCAGTGTAAGATAGGAAAGTTGAATATAATACGATAAAGGAAATTTAAGATGACGAGAAAGTCATAAGTGAGTTGGACATTTAACAAGACTAACTTACTAGGGCCCGTTCGGCAGCCATTCAAAACGAGAGCCGTTTGCAAACGCGCTTGTTTTGAGGCAAACAAAATTTCTCACGCTATGTCACGTCATGTTACACGAATCTCAAATCAAGTAAGCTTAGGTCTCATCATAACCGATGCTATCACATGACGTGACTTGGCCCGTGACAACCGGCGCGACGAGGCAGATCAGTTTGATTTTTTGTCATCTTTGCCACAAAAATCTACCTCGTCTTTATAAGGCACCAATTTTTTTTTTGAGTTCTGCTCACAGAAATCTATCTAATTATCGAGTCCAGCCTTTCCTGCAAAAAACAAACCTAAGTAGTTCATATTGAGCGAGAAGACAGCCTTTTCTAGTTTGCCACCAAGTGTAACACTTTTCGTCATACAATCACATGATGGCATCAAAGGCCTATCTTATCTTATCAGTACTCAGTGGTGTGACAAGCTCTTTTCAAAACAAACTGTGTCGCCGAACACGTCAGCTCGTTCCGAAACGGGCCCATTTCAAAAGGGCACCCTTTTGAAACGAAACAAGACTTTTTTGGCGGGCAACATTTTGAAACGGTGCCCTTTAGGAACGAGCTGACGTGTTCGGCAACTCAGCTTGTTTCGAAAAAACTTTGTCACACCAGTCTGAAAATTGCGTTCCCAACTTTTACACTCAAACTACAGTAGCTCACACTGCTCTATCACTCTCAAACCCACCTCAAAAGCTCACACTCAAGATTTCATCTATGAAAGACAGGCTCCTTGCCAACAAAGAGAACCAACCTCCTAGTCAACAATCTCAGAGTCCAGCCCCAAAAGAGCCCCAAAACGCGAAATGGACATCAGAGGATGATGCCACATTAGTGGATAAATTGAAGGAGGCACAAACGGAAGGTAATCAACCTGACAATAACTTCAAACAACCAGCTTTTGTTGCTGCAGCTGTTGTGCTAGTGCAGAGCCATAAAACCAGTGGTGGTGCACCAAAGACATCTACAAATTGTAGCCGACGTTGGGGAACAGTAAGTCAACCATTGTACAACATATATTGTACTGATTTTTATCATCACAGTTAAAGGCTATGTGCCTTGTTGTTCAGCAGCTCCAAGAGCTGTCTGGTTTTGGATGGGATGATACCAGAAAGAAAGTAACTGCTGAAGAAGATGTGTGGGATAACTATATTGCAGTAAGTGTAGAGTCAATAATTTAGTATGAGATTTACTCAATTAGATCTGTCTCAATCTCATCCAGAAGCAAAGCCATGGCGTAAAAACCCTTTTCCGCTCTACAACAATATAATCGGACTCATTGATGGACGCTATGCCACTGGTGAGGGTGCTTTTCATATCCCAGAGACTGATGAGCCTTCTTTGCCTTTGCCTCATCCTTATGAGGAGCAAGTGGATCAAGATGATGTGGGCACAGTGGATGGTCATCCAGAGAGTGATTTAGACTTGGATGGGGAAGAAAAGTCTCAGGTATGTGATATGGCTTGATGTTGACTTTACCTCACTATACATTCTTCTAGGATTCTATTGAAGTGTCTCAGAGCTCAAAACACAAATGTGCAGCTTCTGGATCACCCACTCCTGCATCTGCATCAAAGCACCTTTGTACCAAGGTGACAGGACCTTCTGCCATCCTTGGAATTGCAGATGCACTTAGTGCTGTGGCTTTATCACTCAGTCGTCCTGACCCCAGTATTTCCCAGCTTATTGGTGATGTCCCCAGCACACCTAAGAGGAGAATTGCTGTAATTAAGGCTGTTTGTGTTGATGATGCATTGGCCACTGCTGAGCGCACACAAGCAATTGCACTATTCACCAAGAATATTGCTATTGCTGATGCATATTCTGCTATCTCTGATGATGTCCTTTGATCCAACTACATCCGCCTTGAGATTGATAGCATGTAGTTAAAATAGCTTTACTATTACTAGTTTCTAGTTTGAGTATATGTGATATACTGTTCCCACATTGCCTTTGCAATTATATCACGTTTAAGTACTGCCCTCTCCTTTTCCTGAGGTGTGATGACATGACTATGATCCCTTTGATCCTGCCGCATAGCTTGACTATTCTGTCCACCACCTATGCTGTCCCCTTCTTCATTGTTACTGTCATCAGGATCATGAACTCGTGTGAAGTTGTGAAGAATGCAAAGTGCAGGAACAAGCTTTGCTTGTACCTCCAAAGCATACTCTGGAGCTGCAACCATTAGTTGAAAGGTCTCTTGACCACCCCAAAGATGCACTCAATAACATTACGAGCTTGAGCATGACGTAAATTGAAAAGCTCTTTGAAGTCTTTGGGCCTGAAAGATAACAAATATGATATGAGCTGAGATATCAAAGTGAAAGAAATAAAAAACCTTTGTGAAGCTCTACCCCATTCCTTCAAATGATATTGTACTCCACGGTAGGGGACCAAAAGAGAATCACATGAGGGAAAGCCTACATCCGCAAGATAATATAGACCTGGAGGAATTACAAAGCCATTGCTCCGAGCATTGTTGTACACACAACTATCAGCAGCACTGCCCTCCCAGCCAGACAGGACATGTGAAAAGTGCATGTCAAAGGTGCAAGCAGCAAGGATATTTTGAGAGAGTCGACCCTTCCAATTACGATAGCGTCCAGTAAAAGCATCATCAGGAACAAAGATATTGATATGGCTACCGTCTATGGCACCACAACACTGTTTAAAGAAGGGATAGAACTTGGGCTCATCTCGGATTTCAGGAGGGACCTCCTCATTAGGCGGGAGATTGATGTATTTCCGGTAAAAGGCAGGAGAAACCACCATATTGAGCATACAGTGAAAGATCCTATAAGTAACAAGGTTTGATACTCAGTGAATGATATTGAAGAATAAACACATGCATACTTTGAAATTGTATCAGCATGCTGAAACCTCTCCTGCATATCCCTATTTGTTCCACCAGTGCGACACATTCAGAGAAAGATAGCAAGCTGCTCCTGTGTTGAGATATACTTGGAGTAACAAAAACCTGCATGATCCTTGAGCTCTTGTAGGAGCCTGTGGAAAACTGGCTTGGAAAGCCCCATTATATTATGGAATTAACAAGGATGTCCACATAATAGTTCCCTAACCCAAGCATGACCAGTTAAAATTGAATTATGCTGAGGTGATTTAATAAGAGATGATACTGAAGCCAGTGATACAGCAGCAGCAGCTGTGGCTGAAGCCAGGGAAGCAGCCTTCCTTCGTTGAGCATGAGATGACTTAAGGAGAGCCAAAGCAGCTGCTTTCTTTTGAGAGGAGGATGTGGTCATGATAGAGGCTCAGGGGGGAGGAAAACCACTATCTACTGATAATCTACAATACCAAAATGCACGTGACATGGTGTGACATAGTGTGAGATATTTTGTTTGCCTCTCAGCTCATTCAAAACAAGCACATTTTCAAACGGCTCTCATTTTGAAACGGTGGCTGCTGAACGGGCCCCAAAGCTGCACATAAAGGCAAGATCATCATTGACAAGTGGTACAAACAATAAAAGCACCAAAAAGCGAGAATAAGAGCAGAGAAAGAAAAATAATCAAAATATTATATCAAAGGCCTGATGATCTATGAATTTATTGACATAAAATGAACTGAAGCTATCAAGGGAATTATGACTGGTAACATCCGAGTCAATAATTTTTTCCCAAAATATTGGAAGTAGATAGGCAGCCCAAAGAACACAATCTAAGTGAATGATTTCTACTAATGGAGAGTTATCTTCATTGAAGTCCGGTTGAACTTTGTACATGCCTGTGAGATCATCAGGCATATTGTCAACCTTTTAAAACCATTGCACAAGTGCACAAGGATAGTAAACACCCTCAAACGAGAAAGAAAAAAAAGCCAGGATCCGGACAACGTCCAGTCCTTGCATGTCTTGAAGACTAGGGTCTCGCTCGACAAAGACACAGTCATGTCAAGGAGCACCCCCACGCCAAGATGGTACTGCTCTGAGGATCTTGCCCCTCATGCAATTGATGCCACTGGGGTCACAAGGTGCATAGTAGTATGCAGTAGCGGAGTGGAAGACTGAGACTTGGCCATCAAAGTAGGGACAAAGCGAAAAGGGAATATCATGTGAGGATGAAGCATTCACATCGTCGAGATGGATCTGGTCAAACAGAAATTGCTGTATTAAATTGGGGAGGTCAGGTTGGTTGATTTGATGACCTAGTTGAGCAGTGTGCCGTGCATATCCTGGTTCTGTTAAATTCACGAGTGAAATGTAAGCTGGTAAGCTGGATGTGGGGATGTGGTACTCACATTGTTGTCTTCCTAGTTCTACATGGCTAGTAGTTGTGTGTCCTGGTACAGCATCGTCCTCATTGTGGTTGTTATTGACAGCATTTGAGTCAGTGTCGGCATTGGTCATGAGCTGATGATGGCCAGGAACATCTGGTAAGAAAGAGTAAATTATTGAAAATGTCAGTAAAACCATGGTAATGATAGAAAAATATGATAAAAACCTAGCAAGCCAGCCTGGATATATGTATCAGGGAGAACCGTACCAGATACTATCCCTCAGCTGGTGAAGGAAATCCGGGATGCTGCAAGTTTATCTAGCCTCTGGTTAATAAGTAGCATTTGGCCAAGGGCTTTGTTCTTGCTCGAGCAACGCCAGGGCTTCTTGATAGCCTGAATGTGCTTTGATTCAGTAATTGATGAACAAAGTCCATTTGGAGCACCAAATGTTTGAATGAGGCAGTAGTAGTGCGTCATTGAGTGCTGACGAGGTAGAGAAAACCCGGTTGGCCTGACACCAAGATTTTGAAATATTGTTCGGTATTGATGAAATTTGCTGAGGGTGTCTTGTATCTTTGCTAGTGTATCTTTGTCATGGACATCACGTCGGACTAGATAGTAGAATTCCAGGAATGCACGAAATGTGCGTACTATGTCAGGGGGGGACATGTCTTTCAATGGCTGGAAGGTAAACCTAGTATTATGTCAGTGGATATGTAATTACAACTGTAAAGTAGTTTTGCACCTTCATTAGTGCTTTTGAGTTGTCTGCAGTCCACTGTTTGAATCCACGGCCTTGAGGGAAGCGGCGCAAACCTGAAAAATGAGGTGCCGAAGCAATTCTAACCAGTGTTCATTAGCTAGTCTATATATAAAAATAACCACAAAGGCAACATACCTTTGGTCAATATTGTCTAGTATTTTGTTTGCACGAGTTGAGCTATAAGTTTATGTGATATATTCTTCGACCCAGGTGACTAGATGATCCTTGAAGGTACCCTTGATGAGCTGATGAAGTAAGTCAGGAGCCAAGAGCTCATGAATATCAGCGCGTGGAAAGTCATTGGTAAAAGGCTTAGAGGAACCGGACAAATTATATTATAGATCAGATAATACATTGAAAACATGAGAGAGAACTTACTACCAGGTCCCCTACAATGCCATACTCATCCCACAATACACCTAAATCCAAACAATTGACAAGCACTTCTGTATGCTCTTCTGAACGTCTTTTGCCTTCTCCATCAAGGTTGGTTGGTAGCGCTGTACAGCTGATTGAAAAATGTTTGAGCATTAATTACTATATGAGGATTAAACTGGACTTACCGTGGACACCATCCCTGGACAATACAAGCCAGCAATGCTTGTTCTGGGTAATCAGCTATATATGGTCCAAGCCCGGAGGTAGCTCGTCGGGGGTGTTGGTCGGGGCATCGTGCTGACAAAACCGGATAAACCCGGTCTCTGCTGAAGCAGCCATTGTTCTCCATGGAGTATAGCCACCACTCCATGGAGTAACCATTGTTCTCCTAGGAGTTATTATACTGTAGCGAGTAGCACCTCCGACTATAAGTAGTAGGGGGTTTAGTATAGGAATACCTCAGTCGTTTCTATAGCCTCTCGGGCAGCGGCTGAGTTTCACTTAGTTTTATTACGTGCTACCTTGGGATTGGTCATTCCTGGCCAAATATCCTGAAGGATAAAAGCTAATGATGTATGGAAAAGTTGGCGGCAGAACTTGCAAAACTTACTTTTTGGGATGGCCAAAAATCCTACTAATACAACACCATTTTTGTGGGCACAACAAATATTGTTGTGAATGTTTCGAATTAAAAGATAGAGTGGATAATATTTGTTCTGTCCAGTTGCAACTGAGACAGTGAGTGGTCTTGTCACTCCCAAGAATTACAGGGACAAACATGGAACCGTGAGTTTGTGGATCCTCTGCTATTTTGCCGGCCTATTTCCAGGCCCAGCTGCCAGACATGAAGTTCTGCCATTTTTGTTTTCCATTGTGATCAAACTCCCTCAATGGTGCGTAGTCGACTTCATTCTTGAATTCTGGGTTTTTGAGGATATTATGCACCAGTGCACGGGGTGAACAGAACCACACATCGAAAGATTGAGACATCCATGAAGGGGAATCAATTTGAGGCATTTGGCCACTGTAAGACAACAAAAACAACTTACAGGGAATGCCGCCAATAGGTGTGGAGTCTATTGTATTGTGTAGATTAGTATGGTCAGTAAAAGGTGTGGTGTCCTCGCTGAATAGTTTGTTTTTCACAAACAATGCCTTCCAGAGGTCTAATAATGTGTCTATATGGTCCGCTGACATCTCCTCCTTTCTATACAGAAACTCTGCAGTCTCAAATGAAACCTGATCCTGGTATGGTGTCCAATCATTAAGTGGAGGCTGTGGGGCAGGCGACACTGGTGCATTTGCTGGCAAGGTGTTGCCAAGTTTGTTACATGGCTTGCCTGTGGAGTGAATGTAACTAAGAGTCACAGAAGCACAATTTTGGGACGCTGTTGATGATGAGAACTGCAGTTAGAAAACCACACACAAAACAAACTAACACACAATCCTCCCAGATTCCACGAAACTTGTTTATGGGCTTTGCCTCCTAGAACAGTGGAGTGGTCTGGTTGTTCGTGGGGTGGTACATATAAAGATCCTTCAAAGTAAAACCCAGAGGTGTATGAGTGTGGGTTTTGAGGAGGAGGGATAGTTGAATTTATAGAAGGATAGGGGCTTTGTGACGAGTATAGACGAGCACTACCTTGCTAATCGTAGCACAAGGTAGGTTTGAGAACGACAATATGACGAGGTTCCCAGTGATAGCAGGCTCCTGACGCACAAACTGTAGTGCTCAGAAGGACTCTAATCGAAGGGGATGACAATCACTTTCAAAAAGTGACGAGTGACGATGACAGCAGTTAACAGTGGTAGAAGTGGGAAGTGTTGTGACCACACTGGATCACAAGTAGTAGAGTAGTGAACTTGAGGGTAGAGAAGAAGTCTGGATTGGAGTTCTTGTTCTTTTTTTACAAGGTAAAATACAGGGGTTTATATAGTAAAAGAAAAGTAGGCTATGCACAGTATAGCTGTGCAAAAGAATGAGAAAGAACATGAAGGAAGGAATGTATGCTGACGAATCCTGCGTAGGTAGTACAGGATAAGATTGTCAAAAAAAGGAAAAGAAAGAGATAGAACAATAAATGCTGTGAGTAATGTCACAGGTTTGTACAGCCATAAAGTAAAGTCCAATAGCAAAAAGAGAGCAGGAAAATCATGATGTCATGGGAAGATGCAGTAAAAAAAAGGGCAAGGCAAAACACTATCAGTATCAACACAGTTCCTTTATTGTCAGTCAGGCATTCTAAAAAAATATGTGTCCATAAAAATGATTCAAAAATCAAAAATAATTGCACTGTAAATGAATGTTCTGCTGAAGAAAAAGAAACTGGAGCCACCGGTCCACTACCTAGTCCAAATCCGACAGTTCCATGGCCTTACCAATGGACTGGTTGTGTTGGACCACCTGATCAAACGAGGGAGGGAGAGGAGTAGTCCCAATTTGGAACAAGTGAGTCTCAGGCAGCGTGTGGTAGGTGTAGCTGTAGCGAAGACAATGGACAAAAGATAAGTGTACCCAAGTGAATGGGACAGCGATGAACATGGGCGACGCAAGGGGATGAACCTTCTCCAGCTCAAAAATTACCCACCCACGCTCCAACCAGGCAAGACGAGCGACCGATGTTTTGATAGTATATGATGGTAGATCGACGTCATAAAGATGGACCTGTTGCCCTATTTGAACCGGCCGCCAGGGCTTTGCTGATATCAGCAGTGGCACGTGGTGGTCAACGGATCGGCGACGGAAGCGGATAGGAAGTGGTGACATCAGAAATGGTGGGGGTGCAAATAAAATGAGGAGGAGGAGGGTGGAGGTGACGGAAAAGTGGATTAGAATGGGGATCCAGAAACGACCGTCAGGTGAGAATAAAAAGGAGAGGAAGGGGCCCATGGTGGGGCTAGGCAAAGGAAGGGGAGTAAGGGAAACAACAAAAGCGAGGGCGCAATGCAATGTGTAGCCAGTGGCGATGCGAAAATTTGCCAAAATGCCGAAACACGGAAAGTACCGGATGGAAAAGCAAAGGTGAGCGTGACTGGATTGCCTAATAGAGGTGGTGCTGATCAGCCACAAGTTCGAAAAGGGCAATATTAATTACTATTCCACATGGCACTGTGCTTGTGTGGCGCAAAGGCGAGTCTTTTGAATATTCGCTTCATTATTGACACCTGTCCATGCTACCAATCAACTTTGGTGCATGACACCGGGGTCAGTGACAATTTTGACTTTCTTGTTGAATTTTGCTCAACTGCTTCAGGGGCGCTTGCCTGAAGCTCAGCGAGCTGTGTAGTCTGACAAAACCGGATAAACCCGGCCTCTGCCGAAGCAGCCATTGTTCTCCATGGAGCATAGCCACCACTCCATGGAGTAACCATTGTTCTCCTAGGAGCACAATTGTACTCCTAGGAGTCATTATACTGTAGCAAGTAGCACCTCCGACTATAAGTAGTAGGGAGTTTAGTATAGGAATACCTCAGTTGTTTCTATAGCCTCTTGGTCAGCGGCTGAGGTATGTTATATTACATTTATTAGAGATCACCTTAAACTAACATCTATTGTAGTTTCACTTAGGTAAATAATAAAGTTGTTTTTATAGCCTCTCGGGCAGTGGCTGAGTTTCACTTAGTTTTATTGAGTTATGAGCCCTGGTGCGCAAAAGCTATGCAGGAAATAATTCTTATTTGAAATGGCAACCTCGGAACCATGACCACAGCATGCGATACATCCACATGTCCAGTTCTCACTGGACCCAACAATTTTCAGATATGGAAACTCCGGATCATCTCAAAGCTATGTTGGGAAAAAGTTCTCCAGGTTGTTACTGGAGAGGAGCTTAAGCCCTCACCAGGAAAACCTACCTCCTCGGAGGATCCTGAGATCACCTGGATACTTAAGGATGAGAAGGCACATGGAATCATCCAGGACCACATCTCTGATGCCCTCCTAATGAGGACTGGAGACCTCACCAGCTCCAAGGAGTTATTTGATAAACTTGTTTCACTCCATCAGACATCCAATATTGCCTCGGCCTTCTATTCATTCTAGCAACTCACCAAATTGTCCTGGGATGGGACATCACCTATCCAGGACCACATTGCGAAAATCCGGACAATTGATTCACACCTCTCCAGAATGAAACTAGGAGTTGATACCAAACTCATGGCTTTTTCTTTTCTCCAATCCCTCCCATGCACTCCTGAATGGCAAATATTTCAGTCATCAGTAATCAACACGATTGAAGAAAATAAACTTACCTTTGATGCAGTTGAGATCCGGATCACTGCAGAAGTTGCACAACAGTCAGGGAAGGCAACTGGAGGTTCCGAATCAGCACTCAAATCCGAGGAGAAATGGTGTAACTTCCACAAAGCCAAATCACACAACACCTTGGAGTGTCGAACACTTCAGTCAGCTGAAAAAGGTCAAAGGAAGAAGGGAAAGGAAAGACACAATGATAAAGGAAAAGAGAAGGAAAAGGCAAATACAGCGGAGCAATCATCTGGATCTGACTCCGAGGAGGAACAGAGTCATATTGCATTGGAACATGTACATATTTCCAAGCCCCTTACTAAACACATTCAAGCTTACCTTGTGTCGGAACCCGATAAGACCAAAACAACAATTATTATTGACTCTGGAGCAACATCCCACATGGTCCCTCACCGCTCCTGGTTTGAGCCAGGAACATACCATGTTCTGCATCCTCCGAGGACAATCAGTTTTGGGGATGAATCCTCTGTAAATGCCATTGGCATTGTAACAGTAATTGTTAAGATAACACATTTTCGGACCTTCCCTTTACTTTTATTCTCCGCCTTAACCTTGTACTTTAGCCTTCACACATGGTGCCACGCGGCATTTCCCTTTCTCGCGCCGCATTGCCTTTCTTCTTATTTTAGACACGACTCTCTCACACAGTGGAGCTGGCCATGTGGGCTAGGCCCCATGACATCATCAGCCACTGTCTCTATCAAACTGTATAGTACACATGTACAAACAACCCTGTAGTAGTATATATACCCCAATAGATCCAGGAGACTCCTCAGCGAGTCCTCCTGTTGTTAACCAACAAACTCTCTGCAGCTTAAGGGGTAACCACTCCTTCATCATCTTCCTTATAGTGTGTTTTGTGTGCACCAGAGTAACTAACTCTTGGTTGTTACAGTAATCCTACAAGCAACTGTTGGCAAAAAGGACTACAATATTGCACTGTCAAATGTCTTACTTGTGCCAAACTTTACTTTAGCACTTGTCTTTGTCCACAAATTGTCTAAAATGGGGTTATCACACTTCAGTCACCCCCAAAACATAAGCATTTAGCTTCAACTATCTGTGTAAATGTATAAAGCTAAGAGCTTGTTTTTCCTGGTATCATCCCAAGTGCTCCAGCAAGGATGGGATCATCCCAGAAGCGGAATAATACCACCCTTCTGGGATTTTCCCATGGTATCAGACCATGTACCATAGTGGGATTATCCCTCAGATGGGATAATCCCAATAACCTGTCACATGTCACATGGTATCAGGGGGATTGGTGCTAATACTAACATGTGAGAATGCTGGGCCAACTAGTGAAGATATTTCCAGTCTTTTCCACCTGAATAATGGTACTTTAGCCCAATATAATCAAGACTATTTTGAAATATATGAGTTACAAGTTCCTCATTGTAGCTTACTGCAAATTTGGGGAGAAGCATTCCCTTTTTTTTAAATGTGGAACATTATCAATTTCTAGATATAATCAATTGCAGGAACCATACACTAGAAAGATGCTGTTGTCCTTGCTGATAGATGTGATATGTGAGTTCTGCTTTTTTGCAAGGTTTATTATACCCTTAACTGAAGTAAAAACTAGGAAACAC